GAGCTGTAAAAAATTAAAAATAGGGGTTTTGTCAATATACACATTGAGATTGCTCTCTAAAATGAAACTCTTTTTCTGTCTATCTGTATAGATATACAGTGGGCCACACACACAAAAGTGTTCGTACACTTACAATTTCCTATAAAATTTATTGTTTTTGACTAATAAAAATTAATAGATTGTAATTGTAATTATTTTATGATATCTGCAACTAGTTTTTAATGGAATGGCAAAATTAATTTGTTAAAAATAGTATATATATATAACTATTTTTAAAAAAATTTATAATCAAAAAGCTACTAAAACATTACGCCACAAAAAATCTTCGTACACTTAACAAAAATCTCAACTTAGCTTTAAATATTGTATTTTTTTCTTAATTTAGTACTTAGTGGGATATCTTTTAGTGTCCACAATAACTTTTAAGCGTCTTGGTACAGATTTATTCAGTTTTTTGTAATTTCTGCATCGATTTTTCTCCATTCTTCTGTGATTATTGTTTTTACTTCCCATTTTTGTGTTTATTTGTCATGTTTTCTTTTCTTTTTACATCAAACTCTCACCAAATATGTTTCACTGGGCTAAATAAAGTGATTGAGGAGGTACTTTCAGGATTTGGGGACAATTATAGAGTCACCAGTGGCATACATTGAGAGCAGTGCTCGTTAAAAAATGAAGTTAAGAAATGAAATTGTTTCCAAAATCTAAATTTTGGTGGATAATTTAATTTTTCTCTTTAAAATATTTAAATAGAGCTCACATGATTCACAATATCAACAAATTACCAAATTACCTAATGCTGTGACCGATTTACACCTCCATGCAAGAACACTTCCACCTCCATATTTCATTAATCCAAATAGATTCTTGGGATTAAGTTTCAGAAAAATCAAATTAGACAGAAAATTGATTGTGATGGCCAATAATTTAACATTTTTGGTTCCGATGGGCCTATAATAGCTTGTAAATGAAAAAATAAGGAGTTTAAGCCCACAAATTTATGTAGAACAAGAACTCCTCCACCTCCATGTTTCAGCATTGAAGTGAAGGTGTTCTGGCGCGGAGGTGTAAATTGGCCTCAGAATTAGGTAATTTGGTATTTCTTTATGATATTGTGAATCATGATCTCTATTTAAGTATTTTAAAGATAAATTATAAATTATCCACCCGAAATTTGGATATTGGAAATGACTTCATTTTTTAACAGAGTAATGACGCCTAGCGCACTGCTCTCAATGTACACCACTGGTGTCTCGATAACTGTCCCCAAATTATGAAAACATCACAATTACTTTATTTTGCCTAGTAGAACATATTTGGTGAGATTTTTATGTAAAAAAAAAAGAAAACATGACAAATAAACACAAAATGTGAAGTAAAAACCATAATCACAGAATGGAGGAAAATCAATGCAGAAATTACAAAAAACTGATTAAATCTAAACCAAGACGCTTAAAAGTTATTATGGGCACTAAAAGATATCCCACTAAGTACTAAATTAAGAAAAAAATACAATATTTAAAGCTAAGTTGAGATTTTTGTTAAGTGTACGAAGATTTTTTTGTGGCGTAATATTTTAGTAGCTTTTTGATTATTAATTTTTTAAAAAAAATAGTTATATATATACTATTTTTAACAAATTAATTTTGCCATTCCATTAAAAACTAGTTGCAAATATCATAAAATAATTACAATTACAATCTATTAATTTTTATTAGTCGAAAACATTAAATTTTATACGAAATTGCAAGTGTATGAACACTTTTGTGGCCCACTGTTTATATCAAAGAGATATTCTGTAATTAAAAGATTTGAATATTCTGAAAACAAATGATTCTAAGAACACAAGTCATTTAATCTTCAAAATATATTTCAGAAGCAATTAAAAATTATATGGTGAAAAAATTTCATTGATATCTTCTGTCGTTTTAAATCAAATGATTTTTTTTATGTAAAATCTTGATAAAATACACTGAATATTCAGAAAAGTGTTAAAATGTTATCATTTTAAGTACTTGCTAAATAAATAATAGAGTTATTGGTAAAACTATTGTTTCCTAAAAGATTAGACAGAGTTTCGTTTTTTTTTCAAAACCTTTAATTAAAACTTGGCATTTTATGTTTGGTGTAGCGTAAAGCTCTTTTATTTTTCAATTATTATCTCCTCAAAAATGGAAGTAATCTAAGAAAATAAAATTATTCTTAAAATTATTTTATTATTTATGTTCTGCTTTAAGAATATTCAGCATTTAAGCAATCATCCAATCAGAAAGAAAATAAAGAAATAAAGTAAATTAAAAGGAAATATAAAAATTTGATTCAACATCAAATGGATAACTTAATCTTCCTAGGCTGCTTGATAGTAACAAAATAAACAAAGATAAAAATATAGATATACGTATTTATCTAGATATGTATAACTTGAGTATACATGTATCTTAAAATCGCATCATTTCTTTTAAATCCTAGGATTTGAAGAAATAATGCCAATATTTGCTCCAAAACCTAAACTTTTTCTCTGGAAGTTAACAAAAAGGAAGTCCACCGAAAAATAGTCTTTACAAACGTAATTTAATACAAGAATAGAATCATGGTTTCAAACACACGATAGTTCTTTTATAGTTTCAGTTTGATGAATGAAACTCTTAAATAAGTATTTAAAGTGCAGACCTTATGTTTATGTACCAAATATTTTCTTGATTTTTTATTGCTGGAAAATAGTTTTGGCAGAAAGGAAATTGGATCATCCTAATTTTATTGGTGAATCAATGATAACTTGAAAGCAAAGCTAAATGAAATATAATATATATTAAAGCGACAATTTTTTTTTCTTAATCCTTCCAAATTGCTTACGGATTAAATAAGCATAAAATTTTAATTTTCAAGGAATATTGCAACTTAGCATTGCAATTATATTACAACATAAATGATAAAATTATAAATCATTTAAATGAGTTTCTGAGAGATTTAGTTTGACTTAATTGAAAAAATAATATAAACTTATATATATATATATTTGAATGTCAATTGTTTATTTTTATTAGTGTAAATGCTTATACTTAAAATATTTCTGTATGAGAAATGCAATTTAAATTAAAAGCTCTATGTAACTAAGAAATTTGTATATTTACGCAATTAAATGTTGTAATGTATTTTTTTTTCTACCTAATATTAGTCTTTTGCCGACACCTGTCCTTTTTTAAGAAAGAGATTGATTTAGATTTCGAAATTTCAAGTAGTTTTTAATGAACAATTGCGTAATGTATTCAGATTTAAACCTCAATTTTTAAGAATAACACACCATTTGTTCTCTACAAATATATTCACAATTCGCCTTGTCATAAATAATTTATGCCGACTCACTTTAAAAGCGGTATATTTTATACATGATTATTTCAATTTCCCTTGCCATGTTTTCTACAAAAAATGTACTTTAAAGTCAAATCGATAATTCTTATTCAAAAATTTTATAATTTTTAACTAATAAAAATAAAGGTCCAAGTATTAAAAAAAATTATAAAATTTATTCACACAAATAATTACCTTGAATAAGAATTTTTCTTTCCCGAAATTGTCTTATAATTAATATAATAAAATCAATTACAGTTAAAAACATTTATAACGCATTAAATTAAATTTCTTAGCTTATTAATCTCTTGTGACCTCCGTTTTATAAATACAGAAAATAAGAATATGCTCAATTCAAAGTGTTTTATTTTTACTTTCCCACTGTTACATGTCTATAAAAAACTTTTTCTCTTGTTGTTATGGTTAAGTTAAGGTTTTTACATCAAATATATCTATTTTTAACTGAATTTCATTTTCATTTTAATGTTAGAATAGAATTCCTTTTAATATAAACAAAAAAAATGTTCATAAACTGACACAACTGAAAGAAAAAAATGATTGCACCACCATTTGGAATTTATTAAGTTTTATTTTCTCACTTAATTGTTTTAAAGTTATTATAAGAATTTAATTTTACGCTGCTTTAATATATCAGTTTATAGTCTGGTACATATCAATTTCTCATATTTCTTTTAAACATTTATTTACGTTTTAATACTTTTAGAGATGTTTTAAAATTATATTGGAAGCAAAAAAATAAAAGCGTGTGATATTACTATTCATGTATTTATTAAGATCATTTTTGGCATTATTAGTTATTTTTTAAGCAATGATAGAGATTAATATAAAAATGTTTCTGCTATGTGAGTCTTAATTTGCAAAAGTATCTCTGAATGAAAATGTTAAATCTTAAATAGTTTACCAATGCCTGTTAATCCAGTTATGTAATATTAGCAATATTGAAACACAATGCTTTATATAAAATGTTATTTTTCAAACATTTACATAAAAAAAAAAGATTGGTGCAATAACAAAAAAAATCAAGGATAAAATGAGATGAAATACATTTTTTATAACGTCATGAAACAAGTTAGATATATCTAACATGCTTATTTTTACAAAATTCTAATTAGTACATAATAATATCTCAAATGTGTAAAAAAAATAATGTAAAAGGTTTTTGAATGTTTTTTTAAATTACCTATCTGATTTTTTATCACACAATCATATGTATTGATATTAAACTATAAACAATTCCATAAGCATCTATAGATGAAACACCCTCTCAGTTTTCATCGCTTTATTATAAACTGAATTGTGGAAAATAAAACACGTTCTCACTTGATTAAGAATGATGTGCTACCACTAATGAGAATTATTCAAATAAGTAACATACAAAAAATATTTAAGTCAATTCCTACTCATATCAATAAAGAAATCTTTTATTTTAGTTACTTTTTATTAAATTATTATTATGTATATACATATAACAGAATTACAATATTAAGTGGCAAAATAGAAAGCGATTTTCCATTTTCGTTTCAATCTGTGGTGTTGGACTATTATTTCGTTTATTATTTATTCATTAATTAAATTTATTTATTTCAATAAAATAGAATAGTAAAAATAAATCACATTCTCAGAAATTAAGTCATATCAGGTGGGATTCAAATCCATGACCTTTGTATTAGAAGTTCAACGTGCTATCCATTGCGCTACATGAACACAGCTAGTTTTACACATGGTGTTGAAGTATTATTTTTGTCTGTTGCTATTTATTCATTAATTAAGTTTAATTAACGAATTAATATTTTACAAAACTGTATTAACATCATGTGTCATTCACTACAAGTTTAAAAAATGTATTTGGACTTGAGTGGATTAATAAAAAGTATTTTACTAATGATTGAAAATTTGAACATATATATATGAACTAATAGTAGGAACTGAAAAAAGGAAATGTGCAACTATCAATCTGCAAAAAAAAAAAAAACTTAATCGTATTTTTTTTCAATCTATCCTCAAAAATAAACAAAAATAAGATGTTTTAAAGAAATTTCTGACAAAAATTTATAACCACACGAGCATTAATTCGATATTTTACTATTCTCATACCTGTATTTAAAGTATAAATATTTGTTGGAGTTACGGTTTCCTACTGTTAATCCTTGATTGAAATTAACTTTATATTTCCATTACTTTTACAGTGACCTTAAAAACAATGTTTAAAGCCAATTTAGGTTGATCATTATAATCAAACTACGCTCACCAGTTAAGTGCACCAATAACCAATAAACGATCATTTTAACTAATCACATATAGAGAGACTACACATTTTATCAAATTATGATTGACTGCATTTCTCAACACAAAAGGCAGCATCTCTTCCAGGCTACAATGAGAATACAAATTATTATACAATTCCCAAAGGGATTTTGTACATGGGTCTAACGAGCGAAGTGATGTACCCAGTGAATGATTTGACCGTTGTGGGAGGGTGTACTCCACTGGGAAATGATTCACATATAGAGAGTGTGAAAATGAAATGGGTGAAGACGACTTCTCGAAATGCTTTGAAATCACGAGAATATTAAGCTGGCTTGGTAAGAATGACGCATTCCTCGTTTCAGTCTAGGAACTTAATCTGAATTACAAATTTAATTAATGAAATTACCATGTTGCTCTTTTGACAACAAAATTTAAATCCATTAATTATCTTAAGCGCTTATGATTTCAACACAAATCGCTTATCACGAGCACTAATGGTTGTTTTTCTTTTCATTCGAATAAGCCTACACTTTTGAGAAGTAGGTATTTAGAAATTTTAACTTGTATTATTCAAAGACAGGATTGTGTATTCTGAAAGTTCTTGAATTTTTCACCTCAAATTAGATCTTGTTAAACAATTTAAAACATGTTGCAATATACATATAAGTAATTATTCCAAGGTGTGCAGTCTGTTTGGAATAATAAATTTGAAGGGACTTTAAGGGAAATTCGCGTCATTTAAGGAAAATAGGAAGACATTTATGTACTTTATTATAAATTGGTTTAACTTAAAGTTGTTCTCTGATATTTTTCGTTAACCCTCTATATAAAACAAAATCCAATTTAAATAGTAAATATAATTGTTGTTAATATATCATTTGACAGACACACATTTCTTCTAGTTTTAAATTACCAATCAGCAGTGTAAAAAGTGAAACAAAAATTTTAAAATATCTTTTTTTTTCTGGTACTATCAAATAAAGAGAATACTACTACTATTATTGCTAAATTTCAGTTAAAACATTCATACGTGTAATCCAAAGGACAATGGTTTTCCATGCTGGGATATGCATAATTCATTCATTACTTATAAAAATTGTTTAATTAAACGTACCTCAAATGATAAGAATACTTTCAATCGTCCATGAAATATTTATCTTATAGTAGAATTTTATCAATAATGAATAAATATGTATTTCTAGTTAGACCAAATAAAATTTGCATTGCAACGCACATGTATGATCACAGATATAAGATGAATTTCACTTACAAAATAAAGACCAAATGCACCCGATTGAGAACCCTATTTATATTTAACTCGTAGTGTCTTTTACTATATTCTCCATTCCAGTCTTTGGCAGATTGAAATCTGAAGCTACTAATGCTTCAGCAGATAATTTATTAATCATCCAATCAAAGTAGGATGCCAAATTTGTAGGAAAATGAAACAAATAACAATTTTATTTTAAATTCTTCAAGGTAACATAACGTTATTGGGTCTATAAGAATATTTATGATGAACTAAAATAAATTTAGCCATATTTCTTGTCATAAATAATCAGACTTTCTTTTCCTTATGTTGCATTTAATACAATAAAACAAAAATTATTTTATTTTTTAATTTTTTGTCTGTTTAACTGCCAGTTTCCTTTGCATTAAAACTGCACTACAGCTACAAAACAGCTGTATGGGAATGAAAATAAGAATTAATTTCGAACTGAGATACCCAGAATATAAACCAAAAATAAAAAAATAGAAACTAGAATGATAATATAAGTTTTTTATTTCTCTCATCAATATTTTTTATGTGCCTGAAAACACTGAGACGCAATTTCTTATAAAAGAAAGCATGCTCCAGAATTCTACATGGTAGAGTAGGAGAAATGTAGTTCCATTCTTTTTGTGCTCTTTGATCATTAATTTACATGTAATGATGAAAGAGTAGTTAAATCTGTTGAGGCTTAAAATCCTCACGTTGGTATGAAATGGAAGTTTGAAAAGTGGGGTGCAAGCTCAGGTGTTCTCGTACTTAACTGGGGTTCAAAGTTAAGAAGGTCCGTTGTCAATAGCCTCCGCTAGGATTTAGAATGTGACATTAACAAATAACCAACCAATCCAGGAATTTTTAGATTTGTATTTGTTAAGCGAAATATTCTTGATATTACTATGCTTCAAATTGAGTTCAGAGTTGAAAAATATTTTAACTCATTTGCTTATGAAGAAAATTATTTTTCTTTTTTATTCAACTAATAATTTTTATTCTAATATAAAGTTCATCGATAGCACCTTTACAATACAGATTTATATTAATGCATTCCTTATAGTGTACATTATTAAAAAAGTCTAAGTTTAAAGTTTTAATTATCCACAAAAAATTTTATTTGTTTAAAAAAAACCTCTCTCTCTCCCTCTTCCTGTGTGTGTGTTTATTTTAATTTCGGGAGAAAATTCCTTTTTTAACATAAAAAAAAGAATAAGACTTTTGATAAGAATAAAACCATGAAATATTACCTGTCAGAAATGTGTGGGTGAGATGTTTCTACTGAAAATTCAATTACGTATTGTTTATTTTAATGTCATTAATTTGAATTAAATTTTATATTTCTAGATCATAAACTATTTAATCAGGATACAAATTATCTAAGAGTTTATAGCAGTAGAGTTTTCTTCGGGTATAATCAAAAAGAAAAAAATTGTGGTTAAATTAAAAAAATTTTTTAAAAGAAACATTTTAAATTGTTAAGGATTCTTATATTAATTATAATGCAAATTTTTGAGGCTTCTCTACAAACTGAAGTGAATCTTGCACGAGTTACACCATTTTTAACTATGAATCACATCTATGAAGCCATGTAAATACTTAATTGTAAAGTCTTTTCACATACTTTTTTTACAAATTCAAAACTTACAGTTATGATCTAAAATGTATGAAATGAAGCCATAAAATATGCAAGAAATGTTATTCAAAACTTCGTTATTTAAAAATATTATTTAAAAGAAAAGGTAAAAGATTCAATCCTTTGAAGTTTAGAGAGAACATAATTGCTTCATCACGTTCCTTGATCAGTGAAAACGTTTAGTAAAATTATGTACACTAATTAGTAAAGGGCGTGATGAAGGTCTAATTTTAGAGCTAATAGAATCAATTACTTTTCTTAGATACTTTTTTGCTAGCTTCTCTTTTTTTCTCATTAACTATTTAAGAAAATCTATTTAATTTTTAGGAAAAGGTAGACACAAATTAAAATTGTTTTTGTAGTGGTTGGATAGTTTTATGCACTAATCATCCTTACACAATCTTACTGCTGAAAATTGCAGGGAATTACGCAATAAAATGTATTTTAAACTATCACACAAAAAACAAGCAGAATTCATGAAATGGAAATAGTAATTGAAGAGTAAATATTTATTTATTGACTTTTCCATATTTCAATTTTTACGATTGAGTATTTAAAAATTTGTAACCATAAAATACCACCTATGAAAGGATAAACTGCATAACATAACAATTCTACTTATTAAACGTAAAATAGTTGAAATAAATTATGTTAATTCAAATTCAATTTTCATTTATACGTTATCATGCTTAACTAGGAAACAACTTTCCGAAAAGTAATATTTAAAATAGACACGAATAACAAACTTACCATATACTTATAAACACATGTACATTTGATATAAATTAGTCATTCAATGAAAAGAAAAAACTCCAACGGCAATTTTCTCCCCCTTTCTGAGGAAATAAGCTCATCACTTACAAAATCCGAGTTGTAATTTCTTAAATCTGTTGTAATTAATAATGTAATAAACTTTAAAACGAGTCTTGACACATTTCCCAACTTATTATTTCTTTAAAACAAAGTAAAACGAAAAGATTAGAGGGGGAGTTATCAAAAGAAAACAAAGCACTTTAACACATTCCTTCTTTCACCTGTTAGTTCCAATGAATAGGCCACAGCCCGGCCTTAAGCATCTCATTGTGAAGCAGTCAGAGAATAATTTGTTAACCTAAAGTTCTTAGACACCTTGTCATCGGTGACAAATATTATCCACTAAAGGATTATAAGAAAAGATAAAACAAGTGAACTTAAAATCATTTATTAAAAAATCCAGACGCAGCGAAGAATGGAGCGCAGTGATAGCCAATTTATATTCATTAATAACACGTATCGTCTCTCCTGTTAAAGCCTAAAATATCGGCCCGGGCTCGTTACATACCTTCTCCTCCGTTAAGGTAAGACTAAGACTCATAAATCATGAACTGAAGATGAATGCAACGTAATGTTAAAGAAGCATTCCATCCTTAATGGACTATGCTGATTCATTTTGTTAACTCGACGATATTCCGTTGTTTTGACAATTTATATTCTCTGTTATCGCCTAATGCCCTGGATCGGGAGCCCCGGTGCATCCATTAGAAGAAGCAAGTGGGAAAAAAATGGAACCGTAATGA